GATGGCGGACGCCATGTCGAATTATTCACTGGTGGTGACCAAGTAGTATTCCACCAAGGTGGACTCCATGTTGAATTTGAATTTGGCGGAGACCAAGTGCTGTTCCATGAAGGTGTCGAATTATTCGTTGGTGGAGTCCATACAAATTTTATACCCTCTTCAACCTGATGATTTGGAATTTCACCATCCCTGACATCATAATTACCAAACCATTGTGGAAAAACTCTGGCCTCTATTTGGTTTATACACAGCAGGCATAACACCACCACTACAAATGCTGTCGAATTCATATCGACAACTTTTACAATCGAGACTAGATAGTTAACTGATTGTCAGCATGTTTAAAGGCATTTTATATGGTTATAAAAATTTTGGTTCACTATTTCCTTATCGCATTGGGAATGTTTTGCCCAAAGCCTACCGATTTTTTTCTGATAAAACTGATTAATTGAAAAGTTTTATTTGTTGTTTTTTTTTTTTTTGGGCTTTCTTTCACCCACTTCAACTATCATTTGTGATAAGAATCATTTCGTAGTTCACGTTAAAGAGATTTTATATTGAATGATAAGGTTATCACTCTTTTTATTTTAAAGCCGAAATAATTGTTGTAATCTATAATTGAGATATAAATGAAATATTACTTGAGTCCAATAGTATTTAATAATTAACTGTCGTTAATTATACTAGATTAGAAGAGAAACACATACGTGGATTTACCATTTAAATAGACCAATTAGTTTCTGCAGAAACCAATTGGTCTTTGCATAGAACATTTGTTCTTTATAGAGAACTATGGTCTCTACAAAGACCAATTGATCTCTCTATAGAACTCTATGGTATTCAAATAGACCAATTGGTCTTTATAGAGACCTGCGGTCTCTAAATAGGCCAATTGGTGTTAATAGAGACCTGTGGTCTCTAAAAAGACAAATTGGTCTTCAAAAGGACCTGTGGTCTCTAAATATACGAATTGGTTTTCATAGAGACCAGTGGTCTCAAAATAGAACAACTGGTCTTCATAAAGACCAGTGGTTTCTTAATAGACCAATTGGTCTTCATAGAGCCTCAATGATCTCGCAATAGACCAACTGTCCGTTATAGAGAACTGGGGTGTCTAAGTAGACCAATTGGTCGTTCTAGAGACCAATGGTCTCTACATAGACCAAGTGGTCTTTATAGAGACCAATGTTCTCTACAAAGACCAACTGGTCTTTATAGAGACCAATGGTCTCTACATAGACCAACTGGTCTTTATAGAGACCAATGGTCTCTAAATAGACCAACTGGACTTTATAGAGACCAATGGAGACCAACCAATGGTCTCTACATTGACCAACTGTTCTTTATAGAGACCAATGGTCTCTACATAGACCAACTGGTCTTTATAGAGACCAATGGTCTCTACATAGACCAACTGGTCTTTATAGAGACCAATGGTCTCTACATAGACCAACTGGTCTTTATAGAGACCAATGGTCTCTACATAGACCAACTGGTCTTTATAGAGACCAATGGTCTCTACATAGACCAACTGGTCTTTATAGAGACCAATGGTCTCTACATAGACCAACTGGTCTTTATAGAGACCAATGGTCTCTACATAGACCAACTGGTCTTTATAGAGACCAATGGTCTCTACATAGACCAACTGGTCTTTATAGAGACCAATGGTCTCTACATAGACCAACTGGTCTCTACATAGACCAACTGGTCTTTATAGAGACCAATGGTCTCTACATAGACCAACTGGTCTTTATAGAGACCAATGGTCTCTACATAGACCAACTGGTCTTTATAGAGACCAATGGTCTCTACATAGACCAACTGGTCTCTACATCTCTACATAGACCAGTTGGTCTCTACATAGACCAACTGGTCTTTACAGAGACCAATGGTCTCTACATAGACCAACTGGTCTTTATAGAGACCAATGGTCTCTACATAGACCAACTGGTCTTTATAGAGACCAATGGTCTCTACATAGACCAACTGGTCTTTATAGAGACCAATGGTCTCTACATAGACCAACTGGTCTTTATAGAGACCAATGGTCTCTACATAGACCAACTGGTCTTTATAGAGACCAATGGTCTCTACATAGACCAACTGGTCTTTATAGAGACCAATGGTCTCTACATAGACCAACTGGTCTTTATAGAGACCAATGGTCTCTACATAGACCAACTGGTCTTTATAGAGACCAATGGTCTCTACATAGACCAATGGTCTCTACATAGACCAACTGGTCTTTATAGAGACCAATGGTCTCTACATAGACCAACTGGTCTTTATAGAGACCAATGATCTCTACCGCAACTGGTCTTTATAAAGACCAATGGTCTCTACATAGACCAACTGGTCTTTATCGAGACCAATGGTCTCTACATAGACCAACTGGTCTTTATAGAGACCAATGGTCTCTACATAGACCAACTGGTCTTTATAGAGACCAATGGTCTCTACATAGACCAACTGGTCTTTATAGAGACCAATGGTCTCTACATAGACCAACTGGTCTTTATAGAGACCAATGGTCTCTACATAGACCAACTGGTCTTTATAGAGACCAATGGTCTCTACATAGACCAACTGGTCTTTATAGAGACCAATGGTCTCTACATAGACCAACTGGTCTTTATAGAGACCAATGGTCTCTACATAGACCAACTGGTCTTTATAGAGACCAATGGTCTCTACATAGACCAACTGGTCTTTATAGAGACCAATGGTCTCTACATAGACCAACTGGTCTTTATAGAGACCAATGGTCTCTACATAGACCAACTGGTCTTTATAGAGACCAATGGTCTCTACATAGACCAACTGGTCTTTATAGAGACCAATGGTCTCTACATAGACCAACTGGTCTTTATAGAGACCAATGGTCTCTACATAGACCAACTGGTCTTTATAGAGACCAATGGTCTCTACATAGACCAACTGGTCTTTATAGAGACCAATGGTCTCTACATAGACCAACTGGTCTTTATAGAGACCAATGGTCTCTACATAGACCAACTGGTCTTTATAGAGACCAATGGTCTCTACATAGACCAACTGGTCTTTATAGAGACCAATGGTCTCTACATAGACCAATTGGTCTTTATAGTCTTTATAGAGACCAATGGTCTCTACATAGACCAATTGGTCTTTATAGAGACCAATGGTCTCTACATAGACCAATTGGTCTTTATAGAGACCAATGGTCTCTACATAGACCAATTGGTCTTTATAGAGACCAATGGTCTCTACATAGACCAATTGGTCTTTATAGAGACCAATGGTCTCTACATAGACCAATTGGTCTTTATAGAGACCAATGGTCTCTACATAGACCAATTGGTCTTTATAGAGACCAATGGTCTCTACATAGACCAATTGGTCTTTATAGAGACCAATGGTCTCTACATAGACCAAATGGTCTCCATATAGACCAATTGATCTTTATAGAGACCAATGGCCTCTACATAGACCAATTGGTCTTTATAGAGACCAATGGTCTCTACATAGACCAATTGGTCTTTATAGAGACCAATGGTCTCTACATAGACCAATTGGTATTTATAGAGACATGTGGTCTCTAAATAGACCAATTGGTCTGCATATAGCGTTGTGGTCTCTAAATAGACCAATTGGTCTTTATAGAGACAGAGACCTGTGGTCTCTAAATAGACCAATTTGTCTTCATAGAGACCAGTGGTCTGTAAATTTATCATGAAGACCATTTGGTCTACATAGAGACCAGCGGTCTGTAAATAGACCATTTGGTCTTCATAGAGACCAGTAATATCTAAAAAGACAAATTTGTCTTTATAGATACCTGTGGTCTCTTAATAGACCAATTGGTGTTAATCGAGACCAACTGGTCTTTATAGAGACCAATGGTCTCTACATAGACCAATTGGTATTTATAGAGACATGTGGTCTCTAAATAGACCAATTGGTCTGTATAGAGCGTTGTGGTCTCTAAATAGACCAATTTGTCTTCATAGAGACCAGTGGTCTGTAAAATTATCATGAAGACCATTTGGTCTACATAGAGACCAGCGGTCTGTAAATAGACCATTTGGTCTTCATAGAGACCAGTAATCTCTAAAAAGACAAATGTGTCTTTATAGACACCTGTGGTCTCTTAATAGACCAATTGGTGTTAATCGAGACCTGTGGTCTCTAAATAGACCAACTGGACTTTATAGAGGCCTGTGGTCTCTAAATAGGCAAATTGTTCTTTATAGAAACATATGGTCTCTAAATATACAAATTTGTTTTTTTAGAGATTAGTCAGTTCACCCAACTAATTCTATTAATATTTGATAAGTAATCATATATAAATTTTCATCGCTTATTGTGACTCTCAAAAATGGGGCGGTCTCTAAACCTTATCATGATTTTATTACCGGCTTCTGTTAATAATAATTTCCTTCATTTCCATTGGTCTGTGTGGGAAGAAAAAAAATAAAGTCATAAAACTCTTATCTCTCTCTATTCAATAAAAAAAAAATCAGTTATTTCGATTACGAAGAAAAAAAATAAAGTCATAAAACTCTTATCTCTCTCAATTCAATAAAAAAATCACTTAGCGATTGCGAAGTGCATTTTTGTTTTCAAAATGTCCGAATAAGCTCAAAGTTTTAGATCTCATTTACATTTATGATTGATGATGCATATACGTGTTGACACAACGCATACGCCATCGGCTATATGTGTATATTTTTGTAGGCAGTGTTAAATATTTCTAAGAAATCCGCCATGAGTCAAACATTTCTTTCAACTTCACAGTCAAGCCCCATAAAAAAACCAATCAACTTTTCTTGCCATTTTTTTTAATTTATTAGAAATTATTGTGGATTATTAAAAAATTTAGAAAAAAGTCAATATTTTCGAAATATAAATATTAGTTAGACTCGAGGAAAATAATCTATTAAGCTGGAGTTTTGAAATTTTAAATGGATCTCTTTATAAACGGGTGCTAAACCATCTTATCTGAGCGTATAGTTTTTTTAATTCCATGTCGGTGGAGTCCAGGTGAAATTTCCAGATGGAGGTGCCCATGTTGAGTTATTCGTTGGTGGCGCCCAAGTGGTATTCCATGAAGGAGGTGCCCAAGTGGAGTTCGATGAAGGAGGTGCCCAAGTTGCATTCCATGAAGGTGGTGCCCAGGTGGAGTTCCATGAAGGAGGTGCCCATGTCGAGTTGTTCGTTGGTGGCGCCCAAGTGGTATTCCATGAAGGTGGTGCCCAGGTGGAGTTCCATGAAGGAGGTGCCCAAGTTGAATTCCATGATGGAGGTGCCCAGGTTGAGTTCCATGAGGGGGGTGCCCAAGTGCTATTCCATGATGGTGGTGCCCACGTAGAATTATTCAATGGTGGCGACCAGGTGGTATTCCAAGAAGGTGGCGCCCAGGTGGAGTTCCACGATGGAGGTGTCCAAGTAGAATTCCAGGTAGGTGGCGCCCAAGTGGAATTCCATGAAGGTGGTGCCCAAGTCGTATTCCATGAAGGAGGTGCCCATGTGGAATTCCATGAAGGTGGTGCCCAAGTGGAGTTCCACGAAGATGGTGCAATGGTTGAGTTCCATACTGGAGGTGCCCAAGTGGAATTCCATGAAGGAGGTGCCCAAGTGGAATTCCATGAAGGTGGTGCCCAAGTCGTATTCCATGAAGGAGGTGACCATGTCGAATTCCATGAAGGTGGTGCCAATGTGGAATTCCATGTTGGTGGTGCCCAAGTAGTATTCCATGCTGGTGGTACCCAAGTAGAATTCCATGATGGCGGAGCCCATGTAGAATTATTAATTGGTGGACTCCATGTCGTATTCCATGAAGGAGGCCTCCATGTCGAATTATTTATTGGTGGCGCCCAAGTTGAATTCCACGATGGTGAGGAATCGTTACCCGATGGATTCCAAGTTGTATTCCATAATGGTGGAGCCCATGTCGAATTATTCACAGGTGGTGTCCAAGTGGTATTCCATGAAGGTGTCGAATTATTTTGTTGTGGACTCCATGTCGTATTCCATGATGGAGGACTCCACGTGGAGTTATTCACTGGTGGCGCCCAAGTACTGTTCCATGACGATGTCGTATTATCATTTGGTGGAATCACAGTTGTATTCCAGTGGGATGAATTGCCATGATGACCATAGTGATGGTGAGGTAGATGATGATGTCTTCTTCCTTCGTAATGTTTACCCTCAATTTTATAGGGTGGCTCATCACTTTCATGACTATCTTCCAGTTCACGGCGAATATCTTCACCCAGCCAACGTCCATCAATGGCACTGGCACACAGCAGACCAATCAATAATATTGCTAACGACCTCATATCGATAAGCAACTAATGTTTCCGGTGGTAACTAAATTACCAACTGATTTTCATATTTGACAGTCACTTGTTTTTATAGGCGGATGAAAGTTTTCTTTTCATTTTTCGGATATTTGAAATGTGTTGTCATGAGTCACTTTCTTTTTAAATTTTGTATGGTAGATAAGATTTCACTAGAAATTTGAATTAAATAGAACATTTTATCAACTGATAATATATTCGAAATGGATGTATATACCCGGACAACTATTTATTTCGGATGGTATTCGGATAAAAAGGGGAATAACTGTTATCACTTATGTTGTATCCACAATTGTTGGAAATCATATAAAAATGAATACAGTGTGTTTATTAATGTGTCTTCAGACACATTAAAATATTGAAACGATATAAAAGTATAATAAATGTTCTATTTATTATACCCTACACAACTATGATGTCAGGGTATTATAGCTTTATGCAGCCCCAAAAGTTTGTAACGCCGCGAAACCGATCGTCATATCTCGACTAGCTGAGTCGATCTAGACATGTGTGTCCGTCCGTCCGTCTGTCCATTATAAATTGTAAACACGATACAGGCCACAGTTATGGACCAATCTTCACGAAATTTTGCATGTAGGATGGGTTCTGACCAATGAAGACCCCTATTGTTTTTGGAAAAGATCGGTTAATATTTAGGGGATGAAATGGACCAAAGACATTATTTTTGTCGGGTTTTCCCAAACATGTTTTGATAAAGATCAAAACATGTTTGGGAAAAGATCGGTTAATATTTAGGGGATGAAATGGACCAAAGACATTATGTGTTTGATAAAGATCAAAACAGTCGGTTAATATTTAGGGGATGAAATGGACCAAAGACATTATTTTTGTCGGGTTTTCCCAAACATGTTTTGATAAAGATCAGTCAATATTTAGCGGGTCTAATGGACCCTGACTTTTGTGTGAAAAATGACAAAATTTGTATTCTATGGCATATATATTTACTCCTGAAGGATGTAGACCCGAGGAGTTGATAGCATATCCAAGAGGAGTGGTTGGACTTTAAATTGATACCAAATATAGAGATGTATCTAATCAGATGTGGGAGTTACAGTGAAATATTTACAGGCGCTTACGTATTCAGATATTATTTAGTAACCCATTACCACATTAGAGGGGGAAATATCGCGCTGATGGCTTTGAAATTTTTCATGAAGTTCCAGTTATGGTCAAGGAAAACGCCTACAATTTTCGGTGATGATCAGATTAAAATCTTGGGATTTGTTTTCGAGTCGAGTATAATCCGAAAATCACAACACAACCCACCGTGAAGGTAATCTGGACAAGTAATTAGAAGGACCGTACTGAATATTCAAAAAAGTAAGGAAAATGTGCTGTTGACTTCTAATCGGGCAAGAGGGAGCAAATATCACGAAATATTACTCAGACTCGGAATAAAGATCCTCAGAAAGTTAGAGTTCGTGGTAGTTGTGTAGGGTATCGTATGGTCGGCCCCGTCCGAATATACTGCTCCGCTCACTGGTTTACTATTTTTTTTATTAATACCAATTGAAACCTATTCAAATTCGAGACATTTTGGAACCATTGATATATTTGGTTGTAGTAATGCCATTGTGTACAACCAAATATTCTACAAATAACCAGCAGTTTTATCAATTTCTTACGTTCTGACTCAATCAACCCAAAAAAACCAGTAAGGAAAGTAGTAAAGTCGGACTGGGCCGACTATATGATACCCTTCACCACTTTGGGTATATTCTACATATGTATCCTAACATATGTAGGATATATCTGAACCGATTTCAGGGAAACTTGCTAGACACTAATATATATTACATCAGTACGTTGTGTAAATCGGCCTAGCTATGGATCTTTTAACGAAGCTTAGCAACATCAGTACTTAATTCAGTACCCTATACCAAAATTCGTGCAAATCGAAAGATATATAGGGACTTTGGTGCACCAATTACATAAAATCGGACGAAAATATATATATGGGAGCTATATCTAAATTTGAACCAATTTTCACGAAACTTACCACACGTCATTCTAGCCTTAATTCAGTACTCTATGACAAATTTCGTGCAAATCGAATGATTTTCAGAGATTTTGGTGCACCAATTACCTAAAATCCGATGAAAATATATTTGGGAGCTATATCTAAATCTAAACCGATTTTCAAGAAACATTGCACACATTATTACAGACGCAATTCAGTACGCTATGCCAAATTTCGTGCAAATCGAAAGATATGTAGAGACTTTGGTGCATAAAATCGGACGAAAATATATATAGGAGCTATATGTAAATCTGACCCGATTTTCAAATTTGCCAAATTTGTGCCAAATTTCGTGCAGATCGAAAGATATTTAGGGACTTTGGCACACAATTTACCTTAAGTCGGACGAACATATATATGGGAGCTATATCTAAATCTGGACCGATTTCCAGGAAACTTAACACACATCATTCCAAACATAATTCATTACGCTATGCCAAATTCCATGCAAATGAAACGATATAGAGGGACATTGGTACACCATTTACATTAAATCTTACGAAAATATATATGGGAGATATATCTAAATCTGGACCGATTTTTCCCAGTTTCAAAAGGTTCATCCTTGGGCCAAATAAGTGACCTATGTCATATTTCATCCAAATCGGATCATAAATGCGAGACGGACTGACGGACGGACATGCATAAATCGACTTAAAAAGTGATTCTATGCATATTCTAAAAAGGAACCATGTGTCTATCTCGTTTCCTTTTGCCTGTTACAAACATATACACGAAGACATAATACCCTGTACCACAGTATGTTGTACCTTGTACCACAGTGTGTGTTTTCTACAATAAAAAAATTAAAGCCGTTCGGCTTCCTTTTCGCTGATAAAAATACAATAATGATAAACAGAATAATTAGAAAAATAATTAAATAAGCAGTATTATGAGTATTTTATGAGTCATGGCAGCCCTACGGCACTCATATACCGATTGATCTGTTGTTGTAGCTTGTACTGATGTGTATTTCTTCTTAATCTTCTTAATGACGGGCAGATATTATCGAACTTGCCTTCAATTCGTGCCCAATATGAATTGATGTGGCTACACCATCCTGATCTTAATTGTACCAAGACCGCTCTGATTTGTCGAGGTAGCTGCTGCTCTTCTGCAGCTATCGTAGTCAGATGATCACCGATGATTGTATTCACACCATATTCTCGAATTGCTTCCTCAACTGTATCCATGTGTATACGATCCAATCCCGCTTAATAGGCCTGTTGATCTAAAGGCTCCCTTTTGTACCTTTGGACCACTCTCTCTCTCTCTCTCTCTCTCTCTCTCCAGATCATGAAGATCCTTCCCGAAATGCCTAGATGATGGGTGTCTACATCTATAACACCCAAGCAGGTATTGCATCGACAACATCTTGTTGTGGTGATGCACAGGAAGAATCTTCATCTCCTCATGAAAGTGGTCTATGGGAGTCATGAGGAGATACCCTGTTGCAGTTCTCAGGGCGGCATTCTGGTAGTATTGAAGACTTTTCCACTGTTTTGCACTGACGTTAGCGGACCACACTGTGTATGTCGTTAACAAGGTTTCTTTGTCAGCTACCCAAGTGCTGCCGGCTAGCGACTTGAGAACATTGTTTCTGCTTCTTATCTTATCGCAAACAGTTGTGGCATGCGCGAACGATTTATAAAGGCTATCTAATGTGACCCCTAGGTAGTCGAGCGCAAAAGTCGACTTTTCCATTATTGCCACAGATCAAAAAGTCTTCTTTTCGATTTTTGCTTTTGACTAAAAAATCAACATTTCGATCTTTCGATTTTGTCAAAACTGTTCAAAACCGATTTTCGACTTTTACCGACTAATGTAAAATCGACTCGAATTTTTATTTTTAATGTTGTCACTCCGTTTGTAACTCATCGAAATAATCATTTCCGACCCTATAAAGTATATATATATATTCTTGATCAGATCAAAAATCGATTTTTGCCTTTGACTAAAAAGTCAACATTTCGATCTTTCGATTTTGTCAAAACTGTTCAAAACCGATTTTCAACCTTTACCGACTAATGTAAAATAGACTCGAATTTTTATTTTTATACCCACCACCATAGTATCAAGGGTATATTAATGTTGTCACTCCGTTTGTAACTCATCGAAATAATAATATCCGACCCTATAAAGTAAATATATTCTTGATCAGGGTAAAATTTTAAAACGATCTAGCCAAGTCCGTCTGTCCGTCACTCTATCTTCTGAAGGAATTGAGATAGTGTGCTCAAATATTATTATAAAATATATTAAAATAGTTATCTAATTTGTTACGCGTTTTGTTCTGTCGCAATCATTTCACCTGCGGATGATATCGAGATAAAAAACTAGAACGTACGGTTCGATAATGAACTATATATGAACGCATTTTGGCATAGCCCCTCTGTGGGAGGTATCAGATGAAGTGGACCCATATTTCCCATCTTCGAACTTGAACTAAGTTTGGAAGAAATAATAAGATGGGCAAAATTTGAATGAAATCAAAATTTTCTGAAACAAATTTGGTCCAAAGAAACATTGGGTCTAGAACCAATATTTCGATGAGGCTCATTTTCACCGTGTCAAAGTGTATACACCCTCATTAGCCTGAGGGTATAATTATCCATTAAAATTTTCTGAAATTTGTATCATGGTTTACATAATCGGTTTGTAGAAATGTCGGTATGAGTCCGCTTTTTGGTATTTTCCCTATATTTTCATTTCAAGTACCTATCAGTATAACTATGGTGGAGGGTATCCAAAGTTCGGCCCGGCCGAATTTAACGCTTTTTCACTTGCTTATATTAAAATAGTTAATTGAATTGTTTCGCGTTTTGGGGGTATTCTGTTCTCGAAAATATACAATTCTAAGAAGTTCTTGCTTATTTAGCCATCTGTTGTTGTCATTCCATCTTCGGAGGATATCGAGATAAAAAAAATTAAGCCTAGCTCCCATAAAATGATACCTACCGATTTTCGTATTTTTAATACTTAGCGTGAAGGAAGGTTTTGTGATGGAAAAAGGTTAGGTTCAAAATTGAGCTATATGAGTCCTCAATTAGGCATATCACCTCATATAATGTAAACTCCAAATATTCGGTAATTCCTACACGATGCAATTAATACTGGTCCTGCATTAGGTATAGCATCCAGGGAAACTTTTGATATTGAAACAGCATCTTCCATCCCACCACCCGACAAAATAAATTTGCCTGACATTGACAGGGCCTAGAAATTATCAAAATTTTACTAAAAACATTGGGGTTCTGCCACAGCCAGCTACGGGTATATTAATAAACCAAATTGTGGTATTGGGGGTTCTGAGAACCCTGTAGTAATTAAATAGTAAACTGTGGCTCATCATTTTCGACATTTTCAATGCCTTAGCACATTTTTACAACTTGAGTGTCTGTAGTTTGTATTTCGTTTTCTTCTGGTAAAATTTATTCATGTCATAATCGCCATATAAAGTCCCTATCAATTGAATGTCCTAATCATGACCGAGGGTTTTAAACTCTTAGCATCTCGCTGTGCATATCTGCTTCTGTCTATAAAATACTAATCAGTCCTATTTAAAGTTCGCTTCATATGATGACCTGCAATAGCCTCACTGTTAATAGCAGATCTTCTGCTTGTAAAAGACCTATCGATAAAAAACTTCGAGTGTATTTTTTTCTTTGTGCCTTCAAAAGGTCATTAGATGATATCTACCTACCTATCTAGAAGATCTTGCAACCCAACACTCCCCCATGTTATCTATTTTATGAAAAAAATAATTATTTTTTATACAATTTCCATTTCCCAGAATACCGAAAAAATATTCGATAACACCTGTTCCGATAAATAAATCCACTGATTGTTATTAGTTTTCAGAATTATGTTAAATTTTAATTTTTTTTATTTTCACTAATTTGCAATCAATTCCCGATAACAAACACTTCTTAGAACTACAAGCATATGTTTGAATATTTTTTTCCAGTTGGCCAGTTGGTAACCTAGTTATCTAGAATTCTCCGAATTGAAACAACATAGCCAAACATCAAATGACCAGCACAGAAATTAGGTTTTACGTCAATTGCTTTCAGGAATTAACTTGTTTAGATTAGTTGTGATTTTATTCATAGGAAAATGGTTTTGATTTCAACGATTAAAAAGTTTTATAGGTCGAATCTTTTTGTAGGTATTTTAGTAATAGGTTGGCCCCTTAATCCATTGCCTGAAGAAATGTGAATAGTTGATAGGAAAATTTCAAAATCTGCAAGAAATATGAAATTATTATCAAATATCGATTTCATAGAATCCGCAACTCATCTTACCGCCATAAATGTTGGCAGCGATACTGTGGTAAATTTATAAGCTCTCAAAACATTCGACTCCCCAGAACGTAAAATGAAAAATAAAATCATGCGACGATATGCAGCATTGCCTTCATACCAGTTATTATAGAATGCCGATGGCATTATGGCATCGCTCTGGAAAAAAATTAATAAAATTAAACAAGCAAACAAATTTCTTTCGAAAATGTGTCAAAAATACTCAATCCTCGGGAGCGACATAAAATACATCTAAAAGTGGATCTAAGAGTTCTTAGTCCAATGTTTAAACCCTTCACCACACTGTGGTACAGGGTATTATGTCTTTGTGCATATGTTTGTTACAGGCAAAACGAAACGAGATAGACCCATAGTGCCTTTTGAGAATATGCATAGAATCACTTTCTGAGTCGATTTATGCATGTCCGTCCGTCCGTCTGTCCGTCTGTTGGTGTTAAATTGTAAACAAACTACAGGTCGCATTTATAATCCGATTTGGATGAAATTTGGGACAGCTCATTTGTTTGGCCCAAGGACAAACCCTATTGAAATTGGGAAAAATCGGTTCAGATTTAGACATAGCTCCCATATATATTTTCATCCGATTTAAGGTAAATTGTGCACCAAAGACCCTATATATCTGTGGATTTGCACTCAATTTAGTATAACGCACCGAATTGAGCCAAGAACGATGTCTACCGAGTTTCGTGAAAATCGGTCCAGATTTATATATAGCTCCCATATATAGTTTCGTCCGATTTCATGTAAATGGTGCACCAAAGGCCCTATATATCTTTCGATTTGCACGAAACTGGGCATAACATACTGAAATGAGCCTAGATTGGTGTATGCCAAGTTTCGAGAAAATCGGTCCAGATTTAGATATAGCTCCCATATATATTTTCGTCCGACTTCATGTAAATGGTGTACCAATGGCCCTATATATCTTTCGATTTGCACCAAATTTGGCATAACGTACTGAATTGAGTCTAGAGTGATGTCTGCCAAGTTTCGAGAAAATCGTTCCAGATTTAGATATAGCTCCCATATATAGTTTCGTCCGATTTCATGTAAATGGTGCACCAAAGTCCCTATATATCTTTCGATTTGCACGAAACTGGGCATAACGTACTGAATTGAGCCTAGAGTGATGTCTGCTAAGTTTCGTGAAAATCGGTCCAGATTTAGATGTAGCTCCCATATATAGTTTCGTCCGATTTCATGTAAATGGTGCACCAAAGTCCACATATATCTTTCGATTTGCACGAAATTTGGTACAGCCTAATCATTTAGGTCTAGAATGATGTCTGCCAAGTTTCGTGAAAATCGGTTCAGATTTAGATATAGCTCCCATATATAGTTTCGTCCGATTTCATGTAAATGGTGAACCAAAGTCCCTATATATCCTTCGATTTGCACGAAATTTGGCATAACGTACTGAATTGATCCTAGAGTGATGTCTACTAAATTTCATGAAAATCGGTCCAGATTTAGATATAGCTCCCATATATATTTTCGTCCGATTTGATGTAAATCAGGCACCAAAGTCCCTATATATCCTTCGATTTGCACGAAATTTGGCATAACGTACTGAAATGAGCCTAGATTGGTGTATGCTATGTTTGGAAAAAAAAGCGGTCCAGTTTTATATAAAGCTCCCATATATAGTTTCGTACGATTTGATGTAAATGGTGCACCAAATGCCCTATATATCTTTCGATTTGCATCAAATTTGGCATAATGTAGTGAATTGAGCCTAGAGTGATGTCCGCCAAGTTTCGAGAAAATCGGTCCAGACTTAGATATAGCTCCAAAATATAGTTTCGTCCGATTTTATGTTAAAGATTCACCAAAGTCATTCACAGACATAGCCCAACGGTCCAACATTTGTCCCATTGTAACAAACAAATGACATGCTTATAGATTGATCTAAGTTGATTCACATTTAGATAAATATCGCATATTTTAGTTCATCCAATTTCATGTTAATTGTCACCCGATAGTGGTGAAGGGTATCATATAGTCGGCCCCGTCCGACTTTACTACTTTCCTTACTGGTTTTAGTTTTACTTACCGCCTCGGTAAATTCCTCACCATTATAGCAGATGAAAAACGTAAAGACCAAAAATGACAACAAGCCCACCGAATATTTAACAGTATGGATCATGCTTAACATGACCATGGAACAGGCCATCATGCAAATGGCTATCGAAGAGGTTATAAAGTTGACCAAAAATGAAATATTGAAAATGTCATTTATTTCCTTCGAGTATCTGTAAGAGAAGACAATTTTTACCGAACTCTCTCTCCTCCCTTTCCCCCTCCTTACCTCAACAACTTCGTATGATAAATAATTAAATATTTCAATTTTGTATTGGCCCTCGGCGTCGCAGCATCCAAACTTGCCAGCGCATTGGTCAAATAATCGAAATGCATTTGCATCTGGGTTATGAAGAAACACAACATAAATTCCCCGGCCATTATAAAGCCAACTCCTGTTAATGAGGATTGCACTTGGCATAGATAGCAGGCCGCGAAATTCCACCATGTCTTCGTATTATCCTTCGTCTGCCACGGATACCAGGTGTTCGATTGATAACGATACATAACCTCACCATCCGACCGAGTAACTTCATACAATAATCCGCCAATGGGTAGGCTATTGTAAACGCAAAAGGCAAATATGAAAAACTTCATGGTGCGGCCCATCAGCTGTTGCGAGTATTTAGCAAAGTGGTGTACGCGATAGAGACGTGGGGTGGCTGGATGTGTAAACAAAATGCAAGAGAAAACAATTTGTTAACAGTCCGAAATGGAATTTCAATAGAATTTTTTGCCAATAAAATATTTGTAGCTACAAGGTGTCTTCTATGTAGTACTGTTTGGAGGTCTTCTACCTCCAGAGCAATTCTCGGAGGAGCTCCAAAGAGTAAAAAAAAAATATTGTCAAATAAAAACCTGCAGCTACAAGGGGTATTCTAGGTAGTAGTTTTCAAAGATATTCTACCTTTTGGGGCATTCTCGGAGGACGTTTCTCTAAAAAGACATTCAGGAAGTATTTTATATGTAAAAGAGGTACTAGGATATATAGAGGACCTATATTATATAGACGTCCAAGGTTTGTATATCGGAGAACTACTAACAGAAGTGTTGCATGAGGTATTCTATACATTAAAGTGCTATATGAGGTTTTATTTTTTTGTTATAGATGACCTAATACCAGACCTGCTGCAGCTGCATGTTCAAGGTATATATTAGGTATTTTACCTCTAGAGTAACTGTCGAAAGTCTTCCATATATATAAGAGTTCAGGAAGTCTATTATCTGTAAAGGGATACGATAGGTTCTCTATGTACAATATGTGGTATATTCGAGGTATATTATGTATACACAGATTTCAGAATAACTTCTATCAATAGAAGAACTGCTGGAAATTCTCTTTTTGCAGATGACCTCCAGGAAATCTCCAAATCTCAGATGGGAAGAGAGCAAAATAAAAATATGAAAAATTTTACCACCAAATGGGTCTCTAGGAACTCTCGACGATCTTTCACTTATAAATGAGCTCCCTGTAGTCTTATTTTTGTAAAAGAACTGTTAAAGAAGGTCAAACCGAGCTCTTTTATATATTAAATAGCTTTTTACAGATTACCTACAGGAGGTATCACGTCTGTAGACGAGATTCGATGGGCAAACTATTTACAAAAGAACTCTGAGAGCTATATAAGTTCAACAAGAGAGCTTCTACATACGGTAGGTCTGCCCGATGTTATTTATTTATAGACCCTACAGATGACAAGCAGGAGATCTCACATCTACAAAATATAACACTGCATATCCCCTAGGTATTTAATATATTCAAAAACTTTTTATAGATAACCTGCTGGAGGTCTATGTCTATAGATGATATTCGAGAGGTCCAATATTTACAAAAGAACACCAAAAACATTCATATTAGAGTTTCTATATACGGATGGGCTGCCCGATGTGTTCTACATATAGACGATCCAGAAGAGAATTTTATCATTCTTCTTTTCATTCGCAACTTCAGGTTGCCTTCTACGAAATATAATACAGCATTAGGACGTCCATCTATAGATAGGTCTATAGGAGAGCCTTAATATAAAAGATTTCCAAAAGGTATTACAGGTCTATCTATAGATAGATGTATAGGAGAGCCTCTCTGAAAAAGATTTCCAAAAGTTCTTACAGAAGTGCTAAATAGCTATAGGTCTTTTTAAAGAGTTCTGAACATTTTTTTAAAGATGAACTACAAGAAGTCTTCCACATATTGAATAGCTTCGAGGCGTATTTTATGTAAAAGACCTTCAGGAGGACTTATATATTGAGGAGCTTCAGGAGGTCCTCTTTCTATAGAACTTCTATATATAGAAGAGATGAAGGAGGACATTTAGAAGGGCTGCTGGAGGATTTTTTTTCGAGATGGCCTAATAATCCTCCCATTTAATCAAGAAGAAGAGCTGCAAGAGGTATTCAATACATAGAAGTAGTTAATTTTATATAGAATATCCGAGGAAGGTTGTATTTATAAAAAAATCTGCACGAGGTTCTCTATCTATAAAGAGACTGCCCGAGAACCTCTATGTATGGAAGAATTGCAGGAAATCTTCTAGAAGAGCTAAATAAGGTATTTTTTATAAAATACCTGCAGAAGAACTTCCCTCTATTCGAGAGATCTTTCGTGCCAGTAAAATTTCAGTAGGCCTTCTGAAGAAGGTCGTCTATATAAAATAAATGAAGAATTATAGAATGCCAGGCCCAGGCATATAGAAGATATGAAGTATGTCTTCTAGAAGGGCTACAGAATGTATTTTTTCGAAATGACCTGTAGGAAGCCTTTCATCTAACACACAGGATGCTCTCTTCAGGAGACTCTCTATTTATAAAGGGGCTGCCCGAAGTCTAAAATGTACCGATGATCTGAAAGAGAACATCTATTTTCTAAAAGAATAGAAGAGCAGGGCAATAGAAGAGCTATATAAGATATTTGTATAGATAACCTGAAAGTACTCTTCCATTAATTGAAGGCGTTCGATAGGTCTTCCATGTGAGGGAAGCTTCAGGGGGAAATTCTATATATAGAAGCGATAAACTGTTTATAGATGTTCTAAAGAGGGTCACCTGTAAAAAAATCTACAGAAGATCCACTATTTTCAGTAGGACTTCCGGAGGCATTCCATGTGTAGATGATCTACAGAAGAATCTATATGTATAGAAGAGCTGCAGGAGGTCTTCCAGAAGAGTTAAATTTTAATGCAAAAATAGCTTCGGTAGCTATCTATGTACCGAATAACTCATAGAAGACGAACTCTATTGGAATTGGAGATAATCGGTTCACATTTAGATATATAATATCTCACCCAAATCACGATGGCTTCGAGATGGCTTCTACACAATAGTAACTACAAAGAAATTGCATAAAGGCTTCTATAAGTAGTTCTACAAATGGTCTCTAGGGAATGATTCCAGGATAACTTCTTTATTTTGAAAACTTCTGGAGGATTTTTTATCTTGAAGTGTTTTGTGCGAGTACCTGCCCATAGGCCTACCTCGCAGTGGCGGAGCCACAGGCGGATATGCGCCCACCAGCGCACCAGCACCGAAGTGCTGTACCAATCGGAGATCATGTTGAAGACATACTCTCCCCCCGCGAAGGTCCCCAGGGGCCACACCAACTGTCAGGCTGGATCAACAGATCCAGGGGCACCTGACACCCGCGGTACGGAAAACCTCCGCTCAGGCTCGAGACCGAAGCCTATCCCAGTTCGACGCAAGTCCGGGCTGGTATTCGAAAACAAATATCAACAGCATTCAAAAAACGCAGGCGGCAAGGAAAAACATTGCACCAAGCAGTGGCGACGTCGAACAAATACACATAACACCAACAATTAACATGCTGTCCTCACGGACTGCACAAAGGGCCCAAAGGACCGCGGCATCGGACATCACAACACAAACAATCAACGAAACTGCCTACACGACATCCACAAATGCAGAAGTGAAGTAGACCACAGCAGCAACAACAACTGCAGCTCTCCACCAACAACAGCACAACCGCACCACCGCCACCCGGCGCACCAATCCACCACCACCCGGTGGACCAACTCCACTAAGTACTGTCCTTCTCCTAAATGCTTCACGAGCAAAACTATTTAAACAACTAAAGGTCCGATCGTCTTCAAGAGCACTACTGAAATCCCACCCCGCCCCTCCATTCGATATACCCATACTTGCTAAATCTCTAATGTCATCATAGTAACAGCATTCCGTCAGTATATGCTTCCAGTCCTCAGTCATCCCGCACTCAAATAAATCCGTCTGGGACAGGTCTCTTTTATGCAGAAAAGCATTGAGAGAATCATTCCCCGTCAGTAAGAAACCAGTACTTAAGCCGAAGCGAAAGTCTAGCCGGTCCACTACGAACGTTGCGTCACGAATAAATTCGTACGTCACCCTCCCTTTGTCACTCTTCGTCCACCTTGTCCTCCACCTATCAACAAAACAAACCCGAAGGATAGTGCTGTACCGCCTACTCTCCCCATCCACCAAATCAGAAGACCTGAGCCAATCATCCTCATCCAACTGCAAACCACGCTTAAGCTTATACATGAAAGCCGTACATCTCAATATCAAGCGACGAGGCGCAGCACCTGCAACGCCTCTATTGAAACAGTGCGACACACTGGCAAGCTCGCTAACATGACGACCCGCAGACACGAAAGGAACTTCTTCTGCCCAAAGACAGAAGAGGTAGTTCTGTATCATATAAGTGCACCATAAGTTGCGCAGGCAACAAAAAGCCCACCATATATGATATGCACAGAACGCCTACTCAAGCCCCAATCAGTCCGCAAAACACTGATCCCAACGACCGTTGTCAGCTTCTCCTTCAAAGTGGATGTAAATTCAAACGCTCTGACACCGTTATTCCGAGATATTTAACAGTACACGAATACCTTATGCCGCGTTTACCAGATCGAATGCTTCTGGAGGACAGTCGGAGGTATACTAAGCGTAGAGATCCTACAAAAGTTTTCTGTCTATAGAAGAGTTGCTGAATACACCGGAAAGTCTTCAAAGTGCAGAAGGTGTAAAAAACTTGCAAGACCTCGTTTTTATCTATTGAATTGAATACCCTGATATTATACAGACAGAAAACTAATACCCTGCTTCTCTGCAGATTTAGTTAGAAGTATCTGCTTCTGTGTCCTATACAAGACTCTGCTCTTGAATTCTTCAGATACAAGGATCTAAGTTTTTCAGACCTCATATTCTACAGATAGAAAACCAAGTGCTTATATAGATAGAATACCCTGCCCCTCTTCATATAGAAAAGTCTGCTCTTCTAAAATACAGAAGACCCTATCCTATCCATAAGATAGGAGACACTTCTCTTGTCTACACCTCTATAAGTTAGATATTTCCTTTCTTCAGTATGATAGAAAACACTAGTCTTCTATATATAGCGAACACTGCTATTTCTGTTGTTCTATTCTATAAAATACCCTGCACTTCTATAGGACAGAAGACCCAGCCCTTCTATTAGATAGAATACCATTGCAGTAGGATAGATGAACCTGCGCTTCTACAGATACAAGGTCCTATACTTTTCTTCTATTTGATTGAATTGAAAACACTGAAAATCTACGGACAGAATACCCCGCTCTTCTACATATAAAAGGCCGTGCTATTTTATAAGACAGAAAACCTATGTCCATCTACAGAATACAGGGGAAAGTTCTTATACGGGACATAAGGTCCTTCTCTTCCATAAATAGTATACCAAGATAGTCTTCAAATGAATAGCCCATTTCTTGAGTAAATAAAAGATCCGGACTTACTGTAAATAAAGTTATAAGTTTTTGTAGACAGAAGACCTAGGTCTTCTATCGGTAGACAGAAGACCCAGGTCTTCTATCGGTAGACAGAAGTCCCAGGTCTTCTATCGGTAGACAGAAGACCCAGGTATTCTATCGGTAGACAGAAGACCCAGGTATTCTATCGGTAGACAGAAGACCTATGTCTTCTATCGGTAGACAGAAGACCCAGGTCTTCTATCGGTAGACAGAAGTCTCAGGTCTTCTATCGGTAGACAGAAGACCCAGGTCTTCTATCGGTAGATAGAAGACGGGTCTAATACAGCTTGTATACAGAAAACCGAGGAGTTCAATAGGTAAAATACCAAGGTCTCTTGGTAGAATATTCAGATCAGATAAATGTATCAGAATCGGGTCTGCGCATTTCTTTTACAGATAAAAGGTCATTCTCTTCTACTGATAGAAGTCCTAACTCTTCTGTAATATAAGGAAGACTATGATCTTATGCAGGATATATAACACTGATTTCCTTTAGAATAGCAGACCCTTCTCATCTATAAACAAAGTCCACTGCTTTTCCGTTTACTCACCAAATTGTTCGTGTTCCCCTGGGAAAATCTCCTGCAATTCCTGCAACAACATCGATATACGTCCACCATGCCAAAATATAACAAACATCTTACATACAGCGACTATTGTTAGGCCCATTATGCCACATGTTTCCGATATTTTAGCCACAAATTCCACATCATCAAATATTTCACTGAGTTGGGGTAGCAGCAGATAGGCCAACATGCCAACATTTTGATAAATCAAATTTACAACACCAAAAACGAACCACACCTTAATTAGCACAGATTTCATAAAGCCACGGCATCGGCTTGATGCTGTTTGAATCTCTTCCATTGTACCACCATTCAAATCAAATGGCTGAACCAAGGCCATAGTCAGGGCAATATTTGGATAAATCATAAAATCTTGCAAACGATAGCTGTGGTACATGACGATTGGTGGTTTGGTAGCCTGTTGAATGTTGTTTCGGGTTTTTTTTTATTTCTATTCCGTAACTTGTTGCTTGAAGTGTTGCCCAGGATGGTTTGGTAACTTTTAAAGCGTTTCACAGACAATCATTGGGGTTTTATGGAATTTTATGTGTGTGTGTGTTTTTTTCCGAAACCAATTAGTTGCAATAATGTGTGGGAAAATATTTCAGTGCTTGGCTAGAAATTTGGGCAGGAGTTGCCATTGAAAAAATATGCCATAATAAATTTATATGTAAACCAGTAAGGAAAGTAGTAAAGTCGGACTGGGCCGACTATATGATACCCTTCACCACTTTTGGGATATTCTACATATGTATCTTTACAGATGTCGTCTTTTCGGAGGAAGGAAGGAAGGAAAGGGAAGAAGAAATTGAGCGAACCTTAAAATGCAATCTTCATCTATAAATAAACCGACTAACATCAATCCTTACACATTCTGCAATCTATTCCATACTTCGTAAATATATTTTAAGCAAACTGAACGCACGCTATTTGGTATGCTTCACTGTTTAAAATGTAATATCAATCAAGCACCCATTGATTATTTGGTTTACAATCAACATGAATAGGTCGAAATTATATATAGAAGCTATGCTATACCTAAATCTGAACCGATTTCAAGGAAACTTACCCAAGATTAATTTATATTAATTTTAGTACGTTTTGCCAATCGGCCTAGCTTTGGGTCTTTAGTACACCATTTACTTCAAATCGGACGAAAGTATATATTGGAACTATATGTAAGTCTGAACCAATTGCAAGAAAACTTGACACACGGAAGGCTATAGCAACTCTTTGGTTCTTTAGTGCACAATGTACATTAAATCGGACGAAAATATATATTGGAGCTATATCTAAATCTGAACAGATTTTCACGAAACTTAGCCCACATTATTGTGGACCCACTTCAGTACCCTATGCCAAATTTCGTGCAAATCTAAATATATATAGGGACTTTGGAGACCCATTTACCTTAAATCGGACGAAAATATATATGGGAGCTATATATAAATCTGACCCGATTTTCTCGAAACTTGGCACACGTCATTCTTGACCAAATTCAGTACTTTATGCCAAATTTCGTGCAAATCGAAAGATATATAGGGACTTTGGTGCCCCATTTACCTTAAATCGGACTAAAATATATATGGGAGCTATATCTATATCTGGTCCGATTTTCACGAAACTTAGCACACATCATTCTAGACTTTATTCAGTACGATGTGCCAAATTTCGTGCCAATCGAAACATATAGGGACTTTGGTACAACATTTACATAAAATCGGAGAAAACTATATATGGGAGCTATATCTAAATCTGAACTGATTTTTCCCAATTTCAATAGGGTTCGTCCTTGGGCCAAATAAGTGACTTGTGCCAAATTTCATCCAAATCGGATCATAAATGCGACCTGTACTTTGTTTACAATTTAACATCTACAGACGGACATGCATAAATCGACTCAGAAAGTGATTCTATGCATATTCTCAAAAGGAACCATGTGTCTATCTCGTTTCCTTTTGCCTGTTACAAACATATGCACAAAGACATAATACCCTGTACCACAGTGTGGTGAAGGGTATAAAAATTGGGAAGAAATGTAATATGTGTGAAGTATGTCCATGGTCGTATAATGAACTAAGGAATCTTACCAAAAATGCCCACAAATATGGCAAGGCTGTTTAAAAAGCTTTCCTAATTGTTTAAATGGTTAGTTAATGTTGTGACAATTTTTTGTTTGGTGGTAATATCTCACACATTGCACACTTTTACATACACATATAGATAATATGAATATAATAGCTCAATTCTCAAAATTTCCAACCAATTTATTTTATTTAAAAATTTACAAATAAAGACAAAGTGCTGAGTTAATACCAATTTAAATAAATAATTGCTAGTAAACAGCGTTAAAGGTTTGGGAATTACTAAATACACAATTTTAACATATCAAGGATGCGTGGACAGAATATTAAGTAATTACTTTATAGAAACATATGAATTCGTACACTATTGTTATACCCTTCACCACACTGTGGTACAGGGTATTATGTCTTTGTGCATATGTTTGTAACAAGCAAAAATAATCGAGATAGACCCATGGTTCCTTTTGAGAATATGCATAGAATCACTTTCTAAGTCGATTTATGCATGTCCGTCCGTCTGTCTGTCTGTCTGTCTGTCCATGTTAAATTGTAAACAAAGTACAGGTCGCATTTATGATCCGAATTGGATGAAATTTGGCATAGGTCACTTATTCGGCCCAAGAACTAACCCTATTGAAATTGGGAAAAATCGGTTCAGATTTAGATATAGCTCCCATATATATATATATATATATAACCGATTTAATGTAAACGGCCCCTATATATCTTTCGATTTGGACGAAATTTAGTACAGACTAATCATTTAGGTCTAGAATGATGTCTGCCACGTTTCGTGAAAATCGGTCCAGATTTAGATATAGCTCCCATATATAGTTTCGTCCGATTTCATGTAAATGGTGCCCCAAAGTCCTAAATATATTTTCGATTTGCACGAAATTTGGCATAACGTACTGAATTGAGCCTAGAATGATGTCTGTCAACTTTCGAGAAAATCGGTCCAGATTTAGATATAGCTCCCATATATAGTTTCGTCCGATTTCATGTAAATGGTGCCCCAAAGTCCCTATATATCCTTCGATTTGCACGAAATTTGGCATAACTTACTGAATTGAGCCTAAAATGATGTCTGCCAACTTTCGAGAAAATCGGTCCAAATTTAGATATGGCTCCCATATATTTTCGTCCGATTTCATGTAAATGGTGCCCCAAAGTCTCTATATATCTTTCGATTTGCACGAAATTTGGCATAACGTACTGCATTGAGCCAAGAATGATGTCTGCCAAGTTTCGTGAAAATCGGTCCAGATTTAGATATAGCTCCCATATATAGTTTCGTCCGATTTCATGTAAATGGTTCACCAAAGTCCCTATATATCTTTCGATTTGCACGAAATTTGGCATAACGTACTGAATTGAGCCTAGAATGATGTCTGCCAACTTTTGAGAAAATCGGTCGAAATTTAGATATAGCTCCCATATATAGTTTCGCCCGATTTCATGTAAATGGTGCCCCAAAGAACCTATATATCTTTCGATTTGCACGAAATTTGGCATAACGTACTGAATTGATCCTAGAATGATGTCTGCCAAGTTTCGTGAAAATCGGTCCAAATTTAGATATGGCTCCCATATATTTTCGTCCGATTTCATGTAAATGGTGCCCCAAAGTCCCTATATATCTTTCGATTTGCACGAAATTTGGAATAACGTACTGAATTGATCCTAGAATGATGTCTGCCAAGTTTCGTGAAAATCGGTCCAGATTTAGATATAGCTCCCATATATAGTTTCGTCCGATTTCATGTAAATGGTGCCCCAAAGAACCTATATATCTTTCGATTTGCACGAAATTTGGCATAACGTACTGAATTGAGCCTAGAATGATGTCTGCCAACTTTCGAGAAAATCGGTCGAAATTTAGATATAGCTCCCATATATAGTTCCTTCGATTTCATGTAAATGGTGCACAAAAGTCCCTATATATCTTCCAATTTGCACGAAATTTGGTACAGCCTAATTATTTAGGTCTAGAATGATGTCTGCCAAGTTTCGTGAGAATCGTCCCAGATTTAGATATAGCTCTCATATATAGTTTCGTCCGATTTCATGTAAATGGTGCTCAAAGTCCCTATATATCTTCCGATTTGCACGAAATTTGGTACAGCCTAATTATTTAGGTCTAGAATGATGTCTGCCAAGTTTCGTGAGAATCGGTCCAGATTTAGATATAGCTGTCATATATAGTTTCGTCCGATTTCATGTAAATGGTGCTCCAAAGTCCCTATATATCTTTCGATTGTTTCGTCCGATTTCATGTAAATGGTGCATCAAAATACCTATATGTCCTTCGATTTGCACGAAATTTCGCATAACGTACTGACTTGAGCCTAGAGTGATCTGCCAAGTTTCGAGAAAATCAGTCCAGATTTCTATATAGCTCCCACATATAGTTTCGTCCGATTTCATGTAAATGGTGCACCAAAGTCGCTATATATCTTTCGATTTGCACGAAATTTAGCATAACGTACTGAATTGAGCCTAGAGTGATGTCTGCCTTGTTTTGTGAAAATCGGTCCAGATTTAGATATAGCTCCCTTTTATTATAGATTGATTTTAAGTAATTGACGCACCAAAGAACCAATAGGAACAAAACGTTCTGAAATTAGTATAACCTAACCTGTGACAAGTTTGTTTGAAATCGCTTAATATTTGGTTAGAGCTTCCATATATATTTTCGCCCGATTTCAAGTAAATTGGACATCAAACTCCTCATGTTAGTCAGATTGACATCAAATTTTGCACATCGTACAAAATTGAGCATAGAATAACGTAATTGTGTTTTCTAAAGTACAGACATAGCCCAACGGATGACCTATGTATATTTGTTTGAAGTCGATTTACATACTTAATTGATAGATCTAGGTAGATTCACATTTAGATAAATACCACATTTCTAGTTCATCCAATTTCATGCTAATAGTCCTGTTTAATATACCCATAGTGGTGAAGGGTATCATATAGTCGACCCCGTCCGACTTTACTACTTTCCTTACTGGTTTATTATAAATTAATATGCAAACAATGGTGAATGCATACCCTTCAAAATAGTTTTTATAGAACTCATACTGATCAACAAAATATTTTATTGATATAAGGCTTTTATATCTCATTCTCAGTATGCTAAGGACATTACCTGGATATTAGACCACCTAAAGACTTTTAAACATTTATAGAAAGAACTCAAAAGGAACTATGCATCAATCTCCTTTCTTGTGTATGCGAAAAATCGTAGAGTACCCAAATAAATATTCTATAGATAGATGAGCATTTACGTGATAGAAAATATTCTACA